CGAAGCCTCGGCGGCGCTCAAGGTGCGACCGGAGCGCAGCCCTCGAGACCGCATCCTCACTCTGGAGTCCATGAACCCTCAGGTGAAGGCGGTGGAGTACGCTGTGCGCGGACCCATAGTGCTCAAGGCCGGGGAGATCGAGATGGAGCTGCAGCGGGTGAGCGCGGGGCCTGCGGGGCGCGAGGCCAGGGGGCGCTCATGGCGGGAAGAACCTTGGCAAACCCCTCTGGGGTCCTCCAGCAGGACCTCCATCCCCAGCCTCCAGCTTTTTCATTGTGCCATTTTTGGCTGGAACGAGAGAACGCCCCCTCTTTCGCCCGTCACTCACCAGTGCCCGGCATCTGGCACAAAGTGAGGCCTTCCGGCGGTTCACTTGTTGAATTGTACCCAATTATTGAGTGGTCTATGCTGCCAGGCACTGCGTGTTCCCTTAGTGTCCTCGTGGAACCAAGATCCTTTGGAAGGAGAAAAACCAGTGAATATAGAAGTGAGATTTCAGATAGTGAATAAATACTTTGATTGAAGATGAAGGGGCCTGGGGGTGGTGAAAAGAAAACCCTGTCAGTTAGGAGCGGAGGGAGGAATGGGAGGTTGTGCTGCTAGTTTGTTCCTGAACCTTTTTTTTCGGGTTGAGGCCTGTTGGGCCTTTGCCAGCCACAGTTGCTTGACAAGAATGGGACTCTGCAGAAGAGAGGAGCAGAATTCCTTCTTTTGTACCTCGAGAACCGTGACTGCTATAGTCAGAGAGTTGGGGTCTTTTGGCATTAATAAGGCGACCCTGGAACTTCATCTTGGTGGTGCCAGGGATGTTGGCTTGAATTCATAGCTGTTGTAAAAATTGTGGGGTGATTTCCCTGCCCCAACCAGGGTGTATGTATGTGGCTTGGCTGTATGTATGTAGGACATGCCCTTGGATGAAAACAAGTTCTTTGTTCTGGGAACAAGGTCTGGCAGTGTAGCCCAGGTTGGCCTTGGACTCTATGTCCTCCTTCTCTACCTCTCATGTGTTGGGGACTTACAGGCACACACCACAGCGCCCTGCTTGGATACTGAGTGGAATTTGGAAGGCAGAGTCAAGAGTGAACATCAAAAGGAAAACACTCCTAAGATTAATAAGAAAAGTTAGAGGTGGGGGGGGTGGCACACACCTTTAGTCCTATCCCTCAGGAGGCAGAGGCAAGAGGATCTCTGTGAGTTCAAGGCCAGCCTGGTCTAAGAAAACAAAATAAAATGTTATCAGATAGTTCTGACCCAGAATGTGGACGGATAGGAAAGTTTCTTGATTCTGTTCCCAGAGTCACTAGATTCCAGTGTTTCTAGTATCTTTGAATAAGTGAGAGGAACTCTCCGTGGGAAGTTTGAAAAACTTCTGATACCTGATATCAGTGCCTGCTGATACCTCCTTAGGCACTCAGTTCTACTCAGAACAGTGAGTTAGGCAAAAGGGAGTTCAGTGTCTGTTGCTAACCCTTTGCAGGGTTAAGGTTTTTTTTTTAAAGATTTATTTTTATGGGTTGGAGAAATGGCTCAGTGCTTCCAGAGGACGGGGTTTAATTCCCAACACCCACATGGCAGCTCACACCTGTCTGTAACTCCAAGATCTGACACTATCACACAGACATATATTCAGGCAAAATACCAATGCAAATGAAATAAAAATAAATTTTAAAAAGATTTATTTTTATTATTTTTAAATATGTGTATATGTGCAGTTATGTGCATGTGAGTACAGGTGGCCATGGAGGCCAGAAGAGTTGGATCTGTGCTGGGTGGTGGTGGCCCTTTAATCCCAGCACTCAGGAGGCAGAAGCAGGCAGATATCTGAGTTCGAGGCCAGCTTGGTCTACAGAGCTAGTTCCAGGACAGCCAGGGCTACACAGAGAAATCCTGTCTCAAAAAACAAAGCAAAACAAGAGTTGGATCTTCTTGGAAGCTGAAGTGCTTGTGAGCTACCTGATGTGGGAACCGAACTAGAGTCTTCTGCAAGAGAAGAGTGTGCTATTAACCCCTGCACCATCTCTCCACCCCAGGTTGGCCCAGAGAAGGCTGGTTCCATTCTGAGCCTGCCTGACACACTGGAGAGCATAGAGCATGTGTTCTTGTTTTCCGAACTTTGGTTTCTGGAAGGCTGCAGCTGTCCCTCCTTGAGGCAACAGTCTCCTTGCTGAAACAAAGCTAGGATTAATGTGTTCCTTGTTTTATCGCGTCACAGCTGATTTCTCTGGTTCCAGAGATGGGAGAGGTTCCAGGAATTATCTCTACCTTTTACGAAATAGCAGCTTCCGTGTTGGCTCCATAAAGTAGAGGATGATGACCAAAAGGTCACTGAGCTTAGGTCCAGGCTGCCATATTGTTATTCCAGTCTTGTAGAGAGTATGTGAGAATGTTCCAAGAGCAGTCAGTGCTGTGATCAATGGCAGGGAAGTTGGGAAGTTCTAGGTTTGGGGGAGGGGTAGATGCACTAAGTAGAAGTCTGTGTGGCAGAGGGAGGCAGGGTGGATGAGATGGAGAAGATAGAAGCCATTTGGATGACTCGGGACTTTACCATGCAACTCCATGCGTCTCGGCTGGGCATGGGGAGCTAGGAAGGGTTTCCAGCAGTGGTATAGCTCAGGTAGATACTTGTCTTGGTTGTTGGGCCAGAAGCATCCTGACTTCCTAGACAGACATTCCACATACCCAAGTTTGTTCTCTTTCTATATTGACCAGGCTGTCCTGGAACTCACAGAGGTCTAAAGGTATGCACCACCACTCCCTCTTCTGGTCCTATCATTCAACTATGTCAACCATTGTCAGTCATTTCTTTTCTTTTTAGGACGATGTGGGTTGGTGCTAGGCACTTGAATTGAGGGCTTTACTAATGCTAGGCAAGCACTCTACCATTGACCTAGAGCTGTATTCTGAGTCCTGTTTATTTTTATTTATTTTTTGTTTGTGTTGGCTTTGCAAGATTTTTTTTCTGCCTCTGTTTTGAATTATAGCATCACAAATTGCTAAGGGGTTTTATCTGGTCAAGAGGTTTGTACCAAGACCTGGGGGCGCTGGGTGGTGGTGGTGCACGCCTTTGATCCCAGCACTCAGGAAGCACAGGCAGGCGAATCTCTGTGAATTCAAGACCAGCCTGTGGCCTCCAAAGCCACAGAGAAAGCCTGCTTCAAACACCCCCCCACCCCACCCTGGGGCAAATTCCATGTGTTCTCTGGGCATCAGTTTCCCTAGTCTATAAAGGACTCAAAGAACTTAGCTGGCCCACTTGCTCCTTTCTCTAAGCCTTGTCCTGGGGGACTTGAGGTGACCCCTGTGATAGGTCCTGGTGCCTTATGATGCTTATGGAACTGTTTCTATGAGTTCTTTACTGGTAGTGCAGGCTGGACACGTGGCTCTGGTGTTTGTCTTCAAGGTGGCTGGCAGGACTTTGATAAGATAGCCTGAAGGTAGAGGGGAAGAGGCTAAGGGTAATAGCCAGACCAGGGGGCTATTTCTCCCCAAGAGCTGCCCCAAGGGAGATCCCATCATACATTGGGAGCAGTGATTTAATAAACTGCAGTTAGGGGGTTGAGAGGATCTGACAGTTTCTTAAGCTTCTTTTTTTCTCTTGTTTGTTTAAGGGCAGGGATCAGGACTTGGCACAGCAGAATGAAGGAATGGCTTTACTTTTCCAATTGTAAACGTAAACACCAGCGGGTGGGGTGGTGGTGGTGCGGCTGTAAATCTAGCCACTTGGGAGTGTGAGACAGGGGGAACTTGAGTCAGGCATGGTGGCATGCACTTGTATCCCCAGTGCTGGGGAGGCACACAGGAGGATCCCTGGGGTTCCCTGGCCAGGAGGAACCTACTCAAGCCCACTAGAGACCCTGTCTCAAAACATGAGGTGGATGGCTCCTGAGGAACCACACCCAAGGTTGACCTTGCATGTGTGTTACATGCAAACATAGTATCCTAGCACCTGGCTGTCGTTAGCTGGATAAAATTCATAGCCTTGGGTGTGCTAAGCTCAAGTGGCTGAATCTCACTGGTCATTTTCAGAGTTTAGATTTTGCTTTAAAATGTGGAAAATTGCCAGGCGTGATGGCACACACCTTTGATGCCAGCACTGGGGAGGCCGAGGCAGGTAGATGTCATCTGAGGATTCCAGTCCAGCCTGGTCTACATAGTGAGTTCTAGGCCAGCCAAGCAGCCAAGGCTACAAAGTAAGACCCTGTCTCAAAAGAAAAGAAAAATTGAATAATAGAGAATAAAATTACAAGATTTTCTTGACAGGATGAATCAAGCACCCATCACCATGTCCTGGTCATGGACCAGCGTTCCAGGCTTTAAGGGCTGTGGCCCACAGGCAATTCATCCAGAGTGTGTTGGCCTCTATTCATTCTTCACAAAAGTGTTAGTGGCAACCCTTTAAACAGAAGCTAATTAAAATTGTTAAGAAGTCTTTGTTCTCAGGCCAGTGTGGTAAGACCTGCAGTCCCCACTACTCAGGTAACCGAGGCTGGAAGATCCCTTGAATTCAGGAGCTCCTGACCAATCGTGGGCAACACAGCAAGACCCTTCTTTGTTTTTAAACTGTTGTTTTTGTTTTGTTTTGGTTTTCTGAACAGGGTTTCTCTGTGTAGTTCTGGCTGTCCTGGAACTCACTCTGTAGACTAGGTTGACCTCGAACTGACAGAGATCTGCCTGCCTCTGCTCGAGAGTCCTGGGACTAAAGGTATATGCCACCACCACCCAGCTTTTTCTCAAACTATTACAAATTGCTTGAGTGTAAGAAGTATGGAAGATTGCTTCCTACCTCTGACTCTCTCGATGGAGAGCTTCCTGTGTCAGCTGTATAATTGGCTGTAATAATGATCCTGAATGGAAATCATTTAGCTTTTCATTCAAATTTTAGACTTACTTACTCTTAAAGTTTTATTATTTTATGTGTATGTGTGTGTTGTCTGTCCATATGTATGTACACCATGTGTGTGCCTGGTGCCTGTGAGGCCAGAAGAGGGTGTCAGATCCCCTGGAACTGGAGCTAGAGATAGTTGTGAGTGGCTATGTGGATGCTGCTCCCTGTAAATCTTGACTTCTCTGGTTGTCTGTGGAGTCAGGGCTTGTCTTGTGCTGGGTCTCAGTGTCTTCTGTGAAATGCTCCCGTTTCCAGACTTCTGCCTGCTCTAGTCTGATTAATTGTCCATTTGAATCTGGGAGCGAGGGGCCTTTCATACGAAGTGTCTGGGGTCTGGGAAGGCCTCTCTCCCACCCTGTTCCCAGCCCCTTTCCTGTACCTGCTTTTGGTAAAGATTTATTTTTGTGTGTGTGCTCATGTGTCGTGAGTAGACGTGCCCACAGAGGCCACAGGCGGGGAGCTGGAGATACAGGCAGTTGTAAGCTGCTGGCCATGCGTGCTGGGAACTGAGCTTAGGTCCTCTACCAGACAGTATAGCAAACGCTGACCTACGGAGCCGTCTTTGTAGCTCAGTGCACATCTTAGTCTTCACTTCCCATACTTGCTTTGGTTTTTCTCTCTGGTCCCGGCCAACCTTCTCTCACCCTTGTCCTCCTTATTTCCTCTATTGGGAATATTTCTTGAACAAAACAGAGACTTGTGCATAGGTCTCATGAAATGACTGGGCCATCCCTTGAAAAGGAAATTAACTTGCTCTTGTCCCTGCCTCCTCTCACCATTGGGGTGAGTGTAACTGGCAGTCATAAAGAGTGCATATGTATTTAAGATATTCAACACAGGGCTGGGGGTGGGGTGGGGCAGAGAGATAGCTCATTGGCTAAGAGCACTTGCTGTTCTTACGGGGTTCCAGATTTGATTACTTGAACCCATATTGGGAAGCTCACAGACACCTGTAACTTGAGCTCCAAGGGATCTGATGTCCTCTTCTAACCTCTGAGTATACCTGCACGTGCCTCCCAAGTCCTGGGATTAAAGGCATGTGCCACCATACCTGACTAGCTCTGTTTTTTCTTTTAAATGAAACAGCATTTTCCGTGTGTGTGTGTGTGTGTGTGTGTGTGTGTGTGTGTGTGTGTGTGTCATGTAGGGAACATGTAGAAGCCATAGGTCATTCTTGCATGCTGTACACCTTAGATTTTGAGACAGGGGCTCCCATTTGCCTGTAACTCATTGATTCATCTAGGCTGGTGAACCCTGGGAATTTACTTGTCTGTACTACCCAGCACTGAGATTATAAACATACACCATTGCATTTGAGGGGGTTTTGTTTTATGTGATTCTGGGGCTCTAACTCGGGTCATTGTACCTGCCTGAGCTATCTCCTCAGCCGTCCCTGTTTGTTGATTACTTCTTTTGTTTTTCCTTGTCCCGGTTTGACTTGGTGTCCTTCAGTGGTGCTGGACAGTGGGAAAGGTAATGGTAAATCTTTTTCCTTTTACCTCTGAAGAAATGTTTCGCCACTATTGTCCCCTGCATAAGTTCAAGTGGTAGGAAGCAAGCCTCCACCTCCCCTGGACCCGCTCGTAGTGGTGCATGGGATGCAGTTGTGTGCTGCATGGGATGCAGTAGTGTGTTGGACATGTGCCAGTGCATTAGACAGATGAACTCTAGAATGCTATGAGAGACATCCGAAACACAGCATGCTTGTTAGTTCTTCTGCCAAGTGCTGAGCTGGGGCAATGGCCCCTCTGAGTACTTTGAACTCCAAGGGCCTGGATAAGCACTTTGGGCCAGAATCTTTCTGGGGTACCTTCGTATTTCCAAACCCATGTGGGCCTTGTCTGCCCAGAACACCCTTCTGAGTGGTTGCTCTTGACTGTATAGAATGGTCTACTTGTCTATTCAAGGGAGCTGCTTTCCTGGCCCAAGCTCATCCATCATGCAAAGTGTCTATGGTCTGTAGGCACAAAGACCCAAAAAAGGGGGTGCTCAGTGTTCCCAGGCTTTGTGTCAGCAAGCCCTGAATTGGCTTAATAGTGCCAGGGGGAGGGCACAGGGAAGGGACAACCAGGGCTATATTCCAGACATTATTTTCTTTTATGTTGGGCTGGCCCAGGGCCCAGGCCTATAATTGTGTTGAGTGTTGGCCTTCTTGGCTGTGACAGATTTGTTTCTTACTGTTAGAATAGGCTCTGGCCATACCACAGAAGTTACCTATGTTCAGTAGCTGAAGACTTGAGAACTACAGTGATTTAAACGCTGATGGAGGGTTCCTCAGCAGGAATCCGGGCCGATGCTAGGGGTGTGGGCCTGCCTTTTGTCTGCTGTGACTCAGGTAGATGCCTCATAACCCCCTCAGCCTTCTAGGCTCCTACCTGTGGGGCGAGCCTTGCATCTACATTCCTATCTATCTCTCCTGCTCTCTCCCCTGACCCAGCCCGGTACAGCAAGTGCTGCCACCACCTGCCTTGGTCTGGAGATGTCTGAGTACCAGGGAAAAAGCTCCATAAATTGACCACCTCTGACTAGCTCAAAAGATGGGACACGAGGCACTTGAAGGGTCCCCTGTCTCCCAGACACACTTCTCAGAGACTTGGGCTCTGTTTGTGAAGCTCTGAGGCCCTTTCTATGCTTCTTTTCTGGCTTACTATGCCTTGTGACTTAGGGCTGTAAATAAGGCTCAGAAGAAAACTTAAGTGGCAGCTGCTTTTGCTTCTGGAGACTACTGCCTTTCTTCTTCTTCTTCTTCTTCTTCTTCTTCTTCTTCTTCTTCTTCTTCTTCTTCTTCTTCTTCTTCTTCTTCTTCTGTTGAAGGGTACATTATTGATCATTTAAAAAAAAGAAAGAAAAGAAAAGGCATGGTGGGGAAGGGAAGATCCGTAAGAGTGCTCATTGTGTAAGCATGAGCCTGAGTTCAAATCCCCAGCTCCCAGGCAAAAAGCCAGACATGGTCCTACCTGTACCTGAAACCCCAGAGCTGGTGAGAGTGGAGACGGAAGGAGTGCCAAGGCTGGCTAACTGTTGGCCTGGCCAAAAAACAGCGAGCTCCAGGGGCAGTGAGACATCCTGTCTCAGAGCCACAAGATGGAGAGCAATGGAGAATAGCCAAAATTCTCTGGCCTGTACAGGCTTGCCCATGTGCAAGCACACACCTGAGCATGGTACGCACACATGCACACAGATGTGCAAACACACACATACACTTGTACATATACACACACACACTCAGAACAAACTTCACCAGTGTCAAAAACATAGAATTGTATCTTTATTGTATTTTGGAAAGCACAATTGGAAATGGGGCGGCAGCAAGGCCTTCCCACCCTTATCCCTTCTTCCTCCACAGTGATACTCAGGGCCTCCTTCCTGGACTAGCTGTGTAAGGTTATCTTCTCAGTCACCTGGGGAGGTCTTTAAACTTGTCTGGTCTATTCCTCCAGTAGCTAATTCTAGATTTATCAGGGAGCTGTGTAGACTCCTATGTTTCTACATCTTCATGATCCATTTTACCTTTGTGGCAGCTGAAGTGTCTTTCACTCACTCCCTAGTGACATCCAAATCTTCTCTCTCTCTCTCTCTCTCTCTCTCTCTCTCTCTCTCTCTCTGTCTCTCTCCAAGATAGGGTTTCTTTGTGTAGCCTTGGCTGTCCTGGAACCTGATTCTGTAGACCTGGGTGGCCTCAGACTCATAGAGACCCACCTGCCTCTGCCTCCCGAGAGCTGGGATTAAAGGGTGTGCCACCACCACCTGGCTCAGATCTCTGAGTTAATCCCTCTGTGATTCCTATTTAGTGCTCACTTCATTGTCTCTTACCCTTTCTGCTAAAAAAAGAAAGAAAAGGAAACCAGCCTTTCTGCAAAACCAAGGTTGCAAGAGAACAAGTTCAGGCCCTAACTGCCCAGGATGGATGTCCTCGGGAGGAGAACAGGAGCTTAGTGTCTCTAGCCCTTACTTATGGTTTCAAAGTGAAACTCTGCTTGGGCACAGGGAACAGGGACATGTAGGCTCTCCTTCCCTGACACTTGGCATATTTTGCCACTGGCATCACTGTTTCTCTACACCACTTTGGTCCCAGTGCTTTCTTTTATAAATCCTGGTGAAGTGACACCCTTTGGAGCTGCCTTAGGGTGCCCCAGCCACCTCACAGTTTGTCCAGTAAGTGGGGGGCAATAGAGCAGAGCATATTGCTAATGCTGTGTTTATCAATTGTGTGACACCGAGCAAGTCTGTTAGTCTTTTGGATCTCCAGTTTCCTCGTTTATGAAATGGGGTTGCTCCTGGTTCTTCCTCATGGAAATGGCTATGAAGATTAAATGGGCCCAGGCATGTAGCAGGTTTAGTTAGCACTACTTGACATTTGGTGAGGCTCAAAATAGGATTGCTTATTAATATCTTGTGGTAATTCTATTCTACAACTTGGCCTCAGAAATGTAGGGCTTAAGAGTCGTTAAATAACCACCTGCCACCTTCTCTCTGCAGGGCATCAAAAAACCATTCACAGAGGTAATCCGAGCCAACATTGGGGATGCCCATGCTATGGGCCAGCAGCCAATCACCTTCCTCCGTCAGGTGAGCCCGCCCTCTGAAGCAGGCCTCTCTAGCCCTAAACTAGAACCTGGGAGGGGCCAGTACAGCAATAGAATCCCTGAGGGATCTGCCACCAGTAGCAGCCCTTTTGGGCACGTGCCTGATGTCTCCTGTTTCTCTCAGCAATCCCCTTCCAAGGGTATCAAAAATGCCCTAACTCATCTGGGGTGGTCTGGGGTGGAAAGCTTCCAGGTAGACTCTTCTCTGTGTTAGGTCTGGGGTCCTCACAGAGAACTTCCGCTAGGGTATTCATGTATGTATGTGGGACAGAGAAGTGCAAGCCCAGCGGGGTGGGAGGAGGGATGCAGGGTGAAAATGCAGCCCAAAGGGAGCCCCTGGGTTTGAGTGCTGGCTGGCTTTGTGGAAATCATCAGGGTGCCTTGGAGGGCAGGAGGGAGGTCTTCTTCCAGCCCAGCAGAAAGTACAGGTTTTGGAGTACCTGTATGTGGTTAAGGTTCACAAGCAGGGTAATGAACTTTCAAAATGGCAGTCTCATTCCCTTTTCTCTACCCATGTTACCAACCTTCAGAAGTGGCACACAGTAGGGTTCTCTCACCTTGTCCTTTGGGTGCTAGAAGGCCCCAGCCACAGCCCCTGTGTTACAGACAAAGCATACAGCTGGTTCTGGTATGAGGAATACCCTGCAACCATTACTGTTGACCTTCAGAGGACCGTGGAGATGAGTGGATTGGGCCCAGATGCAGAAGTGGGGAAGCAAACAGTAGCTCTGTGAGAGGAGTAGAGGCAGGAGGAAGGCCCAGGTCCAGATATAGACCTAGTCTCAGGCTGTGTAGGTTACAGGCTGTCAAACTCATCCCCTAAGCCAACCCAGCCCTGGACCCCAGTTGTCCTAACTTGTCTTTCGTGGTATCGACCACTTGTAGCCTTCATCTGTCTCCTCTGGTCTTCATAATGCCCCTGGGCGAGGGGTCAGCTAGGTTATTGCTCTTTATCCAGAGAAAGAAAAGCCACAAAACTGGTCAGTCACCTGACTACTATCAGAGCTATGACCAGTGCCCCCCCCCCCCCCCCGCAGTGAGCCTCAGCTGCCAGCTTTAGACAGGTGCACTGGGTTTTACTGGCATCTTGTCACCCATGGCCGTGGTTAATGCTCTCAGTTTGTGTGTTTAGGTGATTTTATGTTACAGGGAGGAAAAGCCTTTCCGGCTTTCAGATCTGAAGATTAGTCTAGAGGAAGGGCAGGGTGAGAAGGGCTTCAGGCTGTGTGTCTGCAGGGGTCTCACAGCCTTCTTGTCAGCACATTCTTGCTCCCCACTGAGGCCTGGCCCCTTACCCAGGAGACCCTCTAGCTCTTATGATCCTAAATGTTTGGGTCCAGTGTTCCTCACAGAGTGGAGTCCAGGGCTGAATAACACCCTCACACTCTGCCATAGCTGCTCCTTTGGCACCCCATTCTTGGGCCGAGCCTTGGGCATCAGAATCTCTCCTCCTGCAGAGAGCCAGCGTCTTCCTCTTTGCTACCCTGAGCTCCCACAGCCTCAGCTCTTGGGGAGAGGCATGCTGCATGCGGCATGGTGTTTGGAGTTGCCTTCTTCTCTCTGTACCTTGCCCAGTGTCCTCAGAGCTTGGGGTACCATCTTATAAGCTCAGCTGTACCCTCTTTCTTTAGGTGATGGCACTCTGCACCTACCCAAATCTGCTAAGCAGCCCCAGCTTCCCAGAAGATGCTAAGAAGCGAGCCCGGCGAATCCTGCAGGCTTGTGGTGGAAACAGCTTGGGTAAGGCCCAACTTGCAAAGTCCTCAGGGATGTGAAGTGAATGTGGTTCCAGGATGGAAAGGGCTATGAGGTGGCTGTGCTAAGTGTGTGGAAGGTGGCTGATGTGCGGGGTATGTGCAGATGCATACATACTCTTTCTCTCTCTAATTTACTAAGTCAGTGGTATACATGCCATCTTTCGGTGGGTCGCAAACTCAAGTACAGGTACCTCTGAGGATTCCTCTGGATTTGGGTGTGTTAGGCTCTCAAAGATTTGTTGGTTCAGTAAGCAGTTGGAGGCTGAATGAAAGGAGAGTTCCCAGCTTTGCTCAAACTTGTGTCTGTGGTATTGTCTGAGAAATGGCTGCTGCTTGCCGAGGACAGGAAGCATCCAGGTCCCCTCTGCCACGCTTTGTTTGGCTTACTTCAGTTGAATTGTCCCCATTACCTCCCCCCACCCCCCACTCCCCCATACTGTGTTTCATCCTTTCCATCCTCCCTCTGTTCCTTTTTGTGGAGAGTCCAGACCCAGCAGTCTGGCTCCTGATAGAGGCAGGCACCCTCTGGCTCCATGCAAGGAGGTCCTGAATTTGACCTCTGTAGATGTGAAAATGATATTCCTCCTCCCTCCCCTGCTTAGAATCCAACTCTTGGCCTCTAGCTCTTTGTTCTCATCTCATTTTCTTTCCTGTTTATTTCCCCTTTCCTTCCCCAGTGCCTGCACAGCGTATCTCAATCAAAAAGCCAGTTGTTCTCAAAGATTTCTTAGGATATGTGCCCTAATGTTCTGAGACCCAGAGCCAAGAGTTAGACAGATATTTCTCTGAATTGCTCAGTCAGGGAACAGTCTCTTTTCCCCTGCCTCCCTCCATGCTCCCCTCCCCCACTTTCTGCTCTGTCTCTTGTGGGCTCTGTGCTTACCTGGCCATGGTGACTCTGTCAACACTCTTAGGAACAGGCCAGTGCCTCTGCTTCTCTGCCTGCCAGCCTGAGGTCTAAATCTTGTGGTGGAGGTATTTCTTTTCATGTACCCTCTGCCCAGCACAGAGGACAAATGTATTTCTCAAAGCCCCATGGCCCTGAGAGCTTCAGAAGTTCTACTGGAGAGGCAGGGGAAGGGGGGGGGGGAGTTTGCTTTCTGTGTGTCTAATGTGGGGGGTGGGTTAGGGAGTGGACCTTTGTTCCACCCACTAAACCTCATCATTGATTTTTGTCCTTCTTTGTCAGCTTGAGCTGACAAAGGGGGTAGGTGAGAGGCTGTATCTATGGAAGGATTGTCTTGGGGTGTTACAGGAGGAGGCCAGTAGACCATAAGGGTTTTGTGGACTACACTAGGCTCTGTCCCAGGAACTCTCATGAATACAGATGAGGGAAATGCATTTTGAGCCTTCCTCTTATCTTTAAACTAGGAAGTGTCTTGTCTCCTCCTTCTGGACTTGTAAGAAAGGCTGGTGTATCTGCAAGGAACAGTTCGTGTGGTCCTTGTAATGAATGCCAATGTTGAGGTGCCACTGTCAGCTGAGCCCTCAGCAGCCTTAACTGTTTCCTGCGATGGAAGTAAAAGGAAGTGGAATGTGGCAGTGTTTTCTAGGACCATACTGACCAGAGTATGGTCAGAATATGTATATGAAAGTTTTTTTAAATTTTAAACATTTTTATTTTATGTATATGGGTGTTTTTGCCTGCATGTATATCTCTACACCGCTTGAGAGCCTTGTGTCTGTGGAGGCCAGGAAAGGGCATTGGATCTCCTGGAATTTGGAATTATAGATGGTTGTGAGCCACCATGTGGGTGCTGGGAGTTGAGCCCAGGTCCTCTGGAAGAGCAGTCAGTGTTCTTTAACTACTGAGCCATCTCTCCATTCACTTTTAAATGTTTTTTAAAATGGATGTACATGCTTATGCCTGCTTTTCTGTATGTGTGTCATGCCCATGGCCAGAAGACGTGTTGAATCCTCTGGAGCTGCAGCTCCAGGAGACAGTGAGCCATCACATGGGTGCTGAGGGTTGAATCTGGGTCCTCTGCAAGGACAGCCCATCCTCATCACTGCTGAGATGTCTTTCTAAGCCCCGTGTATGAAGTCTTAAAGTCCACACATGTTTTTCTCATGGCTCTTAAAATCACTTTTTAATTGGTAGGGCATGGTGACATGCCCTGAGGCACAGGCAAGCAGATCTTATGAATTTGAGTCTAGCCAGAGCTACATAGAGACTCAATCTTAAGGAAAAAAAAGTTTCTTACTAGTGCTTCCTTTTTTGTCCATCTGACTAGCAGTTTAGTCCTTAGGTTGTGTCCTGGATACTAAATGTCCAGGAGGAGTTGGGAGCTGTGAGCTTTGTCTGGCCTGACTCTGGGCACGTAGCGTGCACCAGGTGCTGTTCCCCATACTGAGGGACACAAGTGGTTGAGGTGAATAGTCTCTGCTTGTGGAGTGTACGACCACTTTTGAGAGGAGCAAACACTGACAGTACTCACAGTCAGTACTCAGGGGCTGGAGAGACGGCTTAGCCGTTAGGAGCATGTGCTGCTTTTTTTTTTTTTTTTTTTTTTTTGAGACAGGGTTTCTCTGTGTAGCTTTGGAACTCATTCCGTAAACCAGGCTGGCCTTGAACTCACAGAGATCTGCCTGCCTCTGCCTCCTGGGTACTGGGATTAAGGGTGAGCGCCACCAATGCCCAGTGCATGTGCTGCTTTTGCAGAGGACTGGAGTTCAGTTCCCAGCAACCATGTCAGGCCAGGCTGTTCACAACGGCTTTTAACTCTTGCTCTGGGTGTTGGGGGTGGGGTGTGGGGTGTGTCCAGTGCTTTTGGCTTCTGCAAGCATCTGCACTCATGTGCATATATATTTTATATATGTGTGTCATTCCCAGCTTTCATAACTAAGTGGATAAGGGGCAGAAATCTATAGGATTACATCAAGGGGTCCTAATATAGAGGGAAAGTTTAGGAAAACAGATTGGGGCTTGGCGTGACGATGTACACCTTTAATCTCAATGCTCAGAAGGCAGAGGCAGACAGATCTCTGTAAGTTTGAGGCCAGTGTGGTTTATGTAGAGACTGGATTGTATGTAGAGACCCTGTCTCAAAAAACAAGACAAAAGAACAGAAGAGGAGGCCGAGCAAAAGAGAGCTTGCAGATGCATTCCAAATCTGTAGTCTCAAGTAAAGACCTTGAGATTCAGGGTGGTGTGATCCGGTGAAAGGGACTAGGTTATCCAGGGTGGCGATGGGATTTGGCGATGGTGATGGGCCAGTTTGTAAACTGGGAATCAGATGTGCATTCACTCAGGAAGTGACTTCTAAGTAGAGGTGTAGTATGGTGGGGCAGGTGGTGGCTAGGTACTCCAGGGTCAGTCTCCAGGATCTGTGTTGGTGCCACTTAGAACCCTGAGCTATTTTGGAGTACTAGTGTCAACTCATTCTCTCAAGTTCTGTTGAACCACGAGTAAGCACCTACCTAAAGCATAGAAACCCCAGATCTAATGGGTACAGTTGTCATAAAACATGTCTGTATCTTGACACATTAGAAACCAGCCCTTAACATATCATAGGTGCTCAGTAAACACTGTGTGGCAAGATGGGTGGGTGGGCCCAAATGAGTAGGTAAGCAACTTGCCATAGTTCCAGAGCCCAGAGCAGTGGAAAGGAGGTCCACCTTAGTGTCAGCAGCCGTCTTTACCCCCAGTTAATTCTGTGGATGGCACACTCACTTTGTTGAACCAGACATCTTGCCTCTAATCATTATCTTGCTTGTTGTTTCGCAGGATCTTACAGTGCCAGCCAGGGTGTTAACTGTATCCGTGAGGATGTGGCAGCCTTTATCACCAGGAGAGATGGTGTGCCTGCAGACCCAGACAACATTTACCTGACCACTGGAGCTAGCGACGGTATTTCTGTATGTGCAAAGATGGCCCGTTCTTAGCCCAGTGTTCATTCTCGTGAAGAACAGCCTTGCAAGTTAGGGCTAGATGTTTGAACCAGCTGGCCAGGAGACAGGCTTGGTGAGCAGAGTGGGCCACCCAAGCTCTGATGCCATGCAACAGAGCTTGGATGGAGGGGTTTTTACTGGGGAAAAGTGAATGGGAAAGGGGGAGAGGGGAGACCTCTGGGGACAGGAGTAGCAGAAGAGAAGGGGGGGACAGAGAGACAGAGAGAGAGAGAGAGAGAGAGAGAGAGAGAGAGAGAGATGGAAGGTGGGCAGGGCCCTTTTAAAAGGAAATGTAGTGAATGTACACAGGGGGTGCTCTTAGTGGCTACAACTGAGGGCATACTCTGTCAGAACCCCAAGGGCAGGCCAGTACAGATGTCTGAATACTAACAGTACCTCTGTCCCAGTAGCTTCTAGTCCCTGGATACAACCGCAGCTTCAGTTTCCCTCCGGGAGGATCCACCGATCCACTGGCGGGGAGCTGTAGGATGCTTGAGGGTCCCCCTTGGCCTCTGTTGTCAGCACATACTGACGCTCCACCTTGGCCAGGCATCGTGCTTGGTGCTGGGGAGACCTTGGGGAACCAGGGCCATCACTTGGCCTCTGCCTATATGCCAATGTTATGACAGTCTAGCATTAACACCACAGACATAGAGGTCACCTCACGAGTTTTCAGTTTCTGTCCTGTAGTGAAGAAAAAGACCAAGTGCTGTAATGGTCGCAGCAGGAGCTGTACAAGGCTCCTCTGAAAAAAGACTAAAAGATGCAGGAATGGATGGGCAATGTGGGAGAGGGAGTGTTTTCTAAGTGGAAGATCGGAGTCTGAAAAGATCTTGATCTTAGTAACTTAGTGTTTTGGAAATGAATTCAAAGTGGGTGAGCTCACACAATGATGTGAGCTCAGAAATAGGACCAGGGAAGCAAGTCACGGCTAAGTTCTGTAGGGCCCTGGAAGCCATGCTGAGCATGCTAGAAGTCATCCTAAGAAGAATAGAGAGAGAGAACCATTGGCACTTCAGTAAAGGGAGAGAGGCCACATGTCAATCAGTATTCTGTTCAACATGGACCTGGCCAGAAAGAGCCAAGTAACATGAAGTCAAGGAGCACTTAGAAGTGAGGGCCAGGCGGGCTCAGGCTGGGCATCAGTATGCAATGGCATAGGTTATGTGGATTGGTCAGGGTTACCTGGCTGAAGTCTGAAATCCAGGTTTGGGGAAAGGGTTCGTGGCCTCCTGGATTTTGTTTGTTGGCTTGTTTTGTTTTTTCTTCAGTGCTGAGGATCAAACCTGGCCCTCAGTATGCTAGGCAAGTTCTGTGCCACTTCCTTAGCTGCACACACCCTGGCCCTCCGTTCACTTTGGGCATGTTTCTCTCTGGCTCTGGTTCTGTACTAAGTGCTGTTAAGTCATGCATTCTTCCTACTGGAGCAGCTATCGTTATCCTTTCCATCTTATTGAGGCTCTTTGTCTCCTGACCTTACACAGGCTCTTGTTTTGATGTTGAGTGTTTGTTTCCCAAGGCCTTTCATTCAAATAAATCCACTGATCTCCAACTTGAGCCCATGAGAAAGTAGGCCCAGAGTCGGTAAGTGGTCATCATGCAGTCTGGTGGGATTCCTGCAGCAAGGAATGGAGCCTGAGATAGACTCTATGTGTAAGGTGGAAGGTCTTCCTGCATCCTTGGCGTACTAATTCAGGGAACTGTTGTCACTTCCACCAGCACCTCAGCAGATTCCCATATTTTCTCAAGAAATCTATAAATGTGTACTCTGCTTAGCTTGCAAATAGGTGAAAGCACCACCTGGTAGCTGGTGATACCATTTCACTGGCCTACTATTTAGAAGTCCATCCGGTCATGTGTAGGCAACTGATGATTATTGATAAGTAAAGTTTGAGAGAGATTATCAGAGTAAGGGCAGGACCAACCCAGATACTGTTTAGAAAGTGATTGGTTGGTTGGTTGGTCTTTTGGAGACAGGATCTCACAGCATAGCCCAGGCTGGCCTCAAACTCGTGATGGTAGTGCCTCAGCCACCCAAGTGCTGAGATTACGCATGTGTTGCTCCACATCTGTGAAGTGTCCAGTCTTTACTATGTGTCATACATAGGTCAAGAACTTTAAGCCATTTAATGTTTTGTACTGCCTACAGCACCCCTTAGGTTCCAGCTAAGGAAACAGGGAAGTGAAGCAAACTTGATGGGGTTACACTAGAAGCAACAGCAGGGCCTCCCATGGAGAGCTGGGCCTGGGCCTCCTCAGGCTTGTCTGCTCATTGCTTCTTGAAGGCAGCAGGGACCCTGTAGATGTTACTTTTCGTTGCAGACGATCCTGAAGCTCCTGGTCTCCGGGGGTGGCAAGTCACGGACAGGGGTGATGATCCCCATCCCACAGTACCCTCTGTACTCCGCGGTCATCTCTGAGCTTGACGCTGTCCAGGTGAACTACTACCTAGATGAGGAGAACTGCTGGGCCTTGAATGTGGACGAGCTCCGGCGGGCAGTGCGGCAAGCCAAAGACCACTGTGACCCCAAAGTTCTCTGCATTATCAACCCTGGGAACCCCACAGGTCTGCAATTTACTCTCTTACCACTTTCCTAGGGGCTAGGAGGGGTATGAGGATGCTTGACTACTAAAGAATTAAATGACACAAGGTCCCCTCTGTCCCAGTTTCCCAATTCATTCCACATTTGCTAACAGCTGTGAAACTCGCCTCAGGCCACCTCAGGAGATGAGAAACAGGCAATTGTTTTTGAGTTATATTGCCAACAGGACCTGTTCTTTTTCATATTTTACCTCCATTTGCAAAGACTCAGGTTGTTCACACCCCTTGAGGTTATTCACACAAACTGTCACCATTCAGCGTGGGGTGCGTTACATTCACTTCCTCCTGTTTTTTTTCAGCTGGTTTCAGAATGCTGGTGTGTGGAGTTTGGCTGTTTCTTTGAGAAGAAAGTGCCATATTAAAAACAAACAAAAGAAAAAAAAGCCTGTTTCTAGAAGTTGAAAAGCATCCCAAATTTTGCATGTTTTTCTTAGAAAAAAAAGGATACAGTCCTGCCTGTTTTGACCCCACAGGCTGCTGGTTCAAGTGTCTCCAGGGCTATTTGGATGAGGGAACAGGAACTCCCTTCTCTTTTGTTGAGCTAAGTTGAATTGGGGCCAAAATATATCCGAGGTAATTGTGGAATCTGCTTCTCCGAAACATGAAATGATGCTTCAATCAGCTGAAAACCACTTTAATTCCTGAATGTCGCAGAGGAGCACCTGGTGCAAACACTAGTTTGCGTGCTCAGTGCCTTGTAGGAGGGATGAAGATGCTATTCTGCCCATGATGCAGTTAAGGGAAATGACAGAGAACTCTGCTCTCTCTTAGGCTGTAGATCAGTATCACAAAGGCAGCTTTAAAACCTCCCAGGCCCGTCCGGAGGTCAGTGTTCTTAGTGCTGAGAACTTCTTTAGGACACTGGTTCCTAAACTCTTAGCTTGTTAAAGTACAGGATGTGGACTCCGCCCACCAGTGTTTTAATGACTGGGTAGGGCTGAAGACCTGGCAGGCCTACCCAGTCCAAGATGACACTTCTGCTGATCCCAGGGCCACACTTGGAACAGCAAGTCCTGCAGCATTTGTATGCTGAGTCGGCTGTTGAGTCAGTTCTTTTTTGTCGGTGTCTTTGGAGACAGTGCATTCCTCTCTGGCCTAGTACTTGCTGTGCCATCCAGGCAGACCTCAGAGTCGTAGCTGTCCTCCTCCTTGAGCCTTTTAGTGCTGGGATTACAGGCATATGCCACTGGCCTGTCTTTTGAGTCAGGATTTTCTGCTTGGGTATTTATGTAAATCTTTTTATCTCCCTGTCTGGGAGAACATACCACTGCTAAAGATTTGCCTGTTGTAAGTAAGGGACCCTGTGAATGTGTATTATTATAAGTAACTCTCTCTCTTTTCTCTCTCTCTGTCTCTTTCTGTCTCTCTCTCTCTCTCCCTCCCCCCCTTCATTTGTTTGTTTGTTTGTTTGAGACAGGGTGTCACTATACAGCCATTCCTAGAGCTTGCTTTGTAGACCAGGCTGGCCTCAAACTCACAGAAATCAGCCTGCCTCTAGCTCCCAAATTCTGGGATTAACTGCGTGTGCCACCATACCCAGGAGGCACCATCCACCCTTGTTTTCTGGGGTCTTAATGTTTGGGAATCAGTCAGCTGTTAGAAGAGGGGTGGTAGGAGATGGAAACTTCCCAACCACGAACCATAACCAGTTGGCTAAAAGATGTTAAAGCAGTTTGGGAGGTTCAGCCAGGGTGCTTCAGTTTTCAAGAGCTTAACCCAGCTCAAAACAAAAGGCTGCATGGTGGAACTGAAGTCTGGGTCATAAAACAGTAACCTGAATCAATATTATTGTGGGAAGGACCTCAGTTCGAGTCTCAGCTCTGCTGTCTTCTGAGTTGGATTCCTTCTTAGAATCTGTCCTTGGAGGGCCTTCAGCACCTCCATCCCTTGCGTATCAGATGAAACCCAAGAGTGCATCTTTTCCTGTGATTTCACTGGGAGTTCTAGGGCATGTGCTTACCGACCCTTCTTGGAACAAGTCAGTTCACTAGGACTTTGATAGGCAGCTCTTTTATTTATTCACTCAGAAGTCCTTGACAGGCTGGCCTTGAACTCACAATCCTCCAGCTTCAGCATACCAACCAAGTGCTTGGATTAGTGGTGTGTGTGTGTGTCTAGGTCAGGGCCATTTCTCTTACCTCCTGCTGGGGTTCTTCACAAGGCAGCTGTGGTATGCTGCAGAAGCGAGGAGGTAAAATTACAGATGTTCCTCTCAGTTTGTAAGAAATTTCTTAGGCCCATCTTCTGGTGTGGTGCAATCAGGGACCAGCTTTTTGGACTTGTATCAAGGCTGCATCTTGTGTCTCCCCAAGCTGAGCATAGCCTGGCCTCTATAAAAAGTCATATAAGACTTTCTCTCACTCTCCACAACTCTGTCTCTTCAGTGTTTTCATGGCTGGGCCCTAAGTGACTGTTGAATCCCAGGCCCAGGGTACGTTTTCTTTCTTTCTTTTTTTTTTTTTTTTTGAGACAGGGTTTCTCTGTGTAGCTTTGGAGCCTATCCTGGTACTTGCTCTGGAGACCAGGCTGGCCTCGAACTCACAGAGATCTGCCTGCCTCTCTACCTCCCCAGTGCTGGGATTAAAGGCGTGTGCCACCAACTCCCAGCCAGGCCCAGGGTAAACATAAGCTTGTCTTTATATTCAGGTGTGCATCGTGTGTTATCAGTGAAATTTTTGCGTCCATTCGACCTCATTTCCTCCACCAGGCTGAAGCCTTTTCAAGGCCTTTCAGTCTTTCTTTGTGTTCCCCTCATCATTCAGTGAACATGTTTTTGTGTATTCTCTGCTTATATTCCAATTGTATGTAGTTAGGACATCACAAGACCCACAAAGAGTTTGCAGGCGGGCTCTACCCGCAAAGAGGCCAGCCTTTGTCTGTGAGAGCAATGCTGCTTCCATATAGAAACCAGGACCTGCCACTCTGCTGGAGTCCCAGAGCCCTGAACTTCCTTCTTATGAAGCCTGGCTGGCACTCGATGGCCAAAGAAAAGTCAGTCCCTTACTAAAGAGATTGGCTCATTGCTTAAGAAGTGGAAGGTAGAAATCCTGGCTGAATTCTGAATAAGATACATTTCTGTTTTTATAGATGTCTATAGACATTTGTTTTCTTTTTAGCCAAAAGGTAACACTCTACATGCTTTCCTGCATTAGGATGTCTATGCATGCAGAAATAATACATCAATATATGTTCATATTTGTGCATATATGTATAACACAACATAGATATGCTGTACAGTAAAGAAATCAGCACGCCTGATTGAGCACACCAGAAATCCCTGGTGTCACACTCAAAGCAGAGAAAGAATACTGGGGGAGCTCCACTTCCACCTCTCACCCTTTGCTCTCTGCTCCTGTGGTGTGCCTGTAGGCTGCTGACTTACCCGTTAGGCTGTTTGCACCCATTCTCTGACATGAGTGGTGGTTGTCTTCCCTGATGGCCTTGAGGCAGGTCCTGAAGGAAGCCAAGGAGAACTGCAGTGTGCTCTCTCAAAAACCCTAATGGTGCCAGTTCTCTCTGGAGTAGCAGCTGACAGGGGGCACCAGCCCAGCTCATTCATTTGGTATTCTGCAAGTATTGATTTGAACACTTGCCAGCTCTGAGGGTAGATGATGAGCTGGGATGAGCCTGTCGCTTCCTTGTGGGCGTGTGCACCTGCCTTTCTGGGAAGACACCCACAGTTGTTCTTCAGTAACTCCAGCTCAGTTACCATATCAACCAGGGCAATTTTCTGCATTGCTTGCTGCTGGTGCATAGTAGAGGATTGGCGGTAGTGGGGGGAGCTGATGAAATTAACTCCTTCAGTTTTATTTTCTGGCACACCCCGGTCATAGGAATAACAAAAAAGTTAGGTGTGGAATACTATTCCTTGCCCATGCCTGACTTCATTGACTTAGGCAGGAGTGGAGCCTGTAGGCATGACCCGGGTTTCACTGCTATGAGGAGCAACTAGGAGGGTGGTCTCCTGGGATCTTTAGGAACTTAGGACACCCAGGTGATTTGGATGGGAGTGTTACTTGGGGACAACTTCAGTAGCATTACAATCTACATTTTGGTTTTTTTGGGGATTTTGTAGGCCAGGTACAAAGCAGAAAGTGCATAGAAGATGTGATTCACTTTGCCTGGGAAGAGAAGCTTTTCCTCCTGGCTGATGAGGTAAGAGCAGTCCCAGAGATGGGTGGGCAAGCTCAGAGAGGGAGGGGGTAAGCCTTCTCTTATAGGGGAGGGATCCAGGGCTGATTATTCTATAGCCAGAGAGAACTTTCTAGGCATAGTGATTCTGGGCAAAGGTGAGGATGTTCATTCTTAACCTATGAATTTGGTACACAAATTATCTCTCTGTTGGCTTGGACTCTAGTTCTATTGCACACACACACACACACACACACACACACACACACACACACAAACGTGTGTTCGCGAGCATATGTTCCTACATTCTCCGTATCTATGGAGAAAGGGAGAGGGAGACTGAGAGGAGTTGTCTGTGGATCCCAGGCTACCCTAGAACTCATTGTATTAGCCCAGGCTGGCTTTAGACTTACAGCAACCCTCCTGCTTTTCTCCTGGTGTTGAGGCCACAGGTGTCAACTTTAAACTTGCTTTAAACTTGGAGATAATGATGATGTTGATGATGATGATAGGGTCAGAGGTATATGGTTGGACCCTGAACTCAAACTATGTCTTCTAAATACTCCTTTCATCTCTGAACGTCGGTCTCTAGAGGGCAGCTTTTCAGTCTTGTAGTTTCAGCAAGTTTACGCCTGATTGGTTCAACTTGAGCCATGGATTATTGAACCTATCACTGTAGCCTGTGGTTGTAATATGCAGATTGGCCAGGCCCAGGCAAGGTACAAAATGTCTTCCCTGCCCTTCCCTGATGGAATTCCACCTGGGAAGCTACAGAGGGCCATCCCTGAGGGAAATCCATGGCTACCAAGAATGAGGTGTAGCTGCCCTGTGGCAGAAATGGCGGATGTCACTCCTGTGCCTCTAGGTAGTTCTCATCTTCTATCTCATTTCCTCTCCAGCCGTCTGCGAGCCTGTGAGGGTCTCGGGTCTGTATCTAGCTTCTTGAATCCCAGTCACCAATCATGAGGCGTAGGTGTGCCCATTCTTTGTCTGCTTTGGAAGAAACCGAGCAGCACTCATCATGTTCCATTCACCTTCATTGCTGTGTGGTTTCCGGTTGGCCGTAGTTTCTAGAATACTACTTTCTTTTCTCCTTAAGCACTCTGCTCTATCACCACATTTAAATTGCCATAACTAATCATGGATATAAAAGCCTTCATTTCTAAAAGGAAAAAAAAGGCAGCAGAGAGACCTGGGGATTCCTTATGACAGTGTACTAACTACCCCACTGGTCTGGGAGGAGGGCAGGAGCTCCACCATTGCCGTTGAAGGTGGAGCTTGTCTGACTTTCCCACTGGTCCAGAAAGCCAATTTCCCTGATTGCAGAACAGGCAGGGTGGTACTTGTAGGCTGTGAGTGCTAGATCTAGAGATGGAAGAACAAAACATGCGTGGGTTCTGCTCTGGCAGAAAGAGCAGAGGCAAAGACAAATGATTCCAAATCTGGTAAGTGACATAAAGGACTCCTGACAGAGTTCACCCTTAAAACTGAGAAAGCAGAGGACAGGAGGCTGTTGACCCTGTTTCTGTCACTAGAAGAGTGAACAGTGCTTTAGGAGAAAATTTTGCTTGGGAAGATTGGAGTCTCTGGTGTCATTGCTGGCCCAATGTGTTAGACAGGCTGGCTAGAGATTGGGTGGGGAAGGGAAATGTAGATGTCGGGGAAGCTCCTAAACGGTCGTAAGCTGAAGCATCCAGTCTGAGGCTGTTCCCTTGCTTGCTCTGAAAGGTTCCCTCAGGTGCATTCTGGCTTATCTGTGGAAACAGCATTGGAATCTGGGCTGGCTGTTTTGTTCAAGGCTGGACTTTGTGACCTGCACCAGATGACAGGTTCACGCTGTACCTATGTACCTCTCTTGGGTGTGGACCCTTGGCTACTCTCAGCCACGGCCTGTGTTTGTTCAGCCTTCCAGGAGGACTCACTGCAACCGTGCTGTTCTCATGCAGGTCTATCAGGACAATGTGTACTCTCCTGACTGCAGATTCCACTCCTTTAAGAAAGTCCTTTACCAGATGGGGCCTGAGTACTCCAGCAATGTGGAGCTTGCATCCTTCCACTCTACCTCCAAGGGCTACATGGGCGAGTATGTTGACCTCTGCTCTTCTTCTGCTTCTGGCGGTCTGCTTTCCCAGCACTGCTCCCTCTCTTCTGCCTGCTCCTCTGCTTGGCCCTGTGGTCCACATGGTGGGAAAGTAAGCCCCCTCATCCTTTGCTGCTGCTGTGAGAACCAGGAGCCAGGCTGCATCTCCCTGGAAAATCTAAGTACCAGAACTCTCCTTGTGCAGGGGCTCAAGTGAAATGCAGCATGTTCAAAAGAAACCGGATAAGTGATGGAAATGAAAACAGGTTCCCATAGCAGCTCTAAGCCTGCTCTAAGCTTTAACATTGACTGAAGTCTGAGGGCCCATGAAGGAGAGGAGTTGAGTGGACAGGTACCAAGCTCTGTGGCCAAGGCTGCCTTAGCATGGAGGGATTATAAGGCCAAAGGGCTAGTCTGGAGCCCATCTTTGTTTATTTGACTAGTAGTTACTGAGTACCTGAGTTTTTAGCACTGAGGACCCTGTCACACATAGCCAATATGTTACCGAGAAGTGAAGAACTAGGCAAGGAGCAAAGTCACGTGGCAGGGAAGAACTGAGGTCACAGAGGAAATGCCGGAAGGTGGGACTGGAGTTGGACGAAGGGAGACATTTGGGAGAAGAGCATTCTAGGTGGAAGAAATGGCATACGAAGTTTGAAGAAATATGTTGCCTTGGTCAAGGGAGCTGTCTCCTTAGATTGTTCTTGGCTTCATTTGATGTAGACTAGTATATGAATTGGGTTTCAGGGTAAACAGCTACGACAAAATGGCCTAAAATATAGAGGCTCCAAAAGGGTGAAAATGTATCTATTTTTGGCATGCTGATTCAAAGACGCCAGGGAGAGGAGGCTGCTCCTTGAGGCCTGCCTTCTCTAGGATGAGGACTATCTCCACCTCCTCAGAAACAGGAAGGGAAAAGAAGGCAAGAACTAGCTTTTCCTTGTAGGAAAATGTCTTTGTCCTACCGTTTGTTTACCTGCCCCTGGCAAGAACTCAGCCACAGGTGCCTGCTTGGTACTCGGGTATATCTGGTGTCCAAACTGCATTTGTGAGACCTTCCTATAACTGATGGGTGTGCTCCCTCTGCTCAACTCTCCAGGTGTGGCTACAGAGGGGGCTACATGGAGGTGATTAATTTGCACCCTGAGATCAAAGGCCAGCTGGTAAAGCTACTCTCAGTTCGTCTCTGCCCGCCAGTGTCTGGACAAGCTGCTATGGATATTGTTGTGAATCCTCCTGTCCCAGGCGAGGAGTCTTTTGAGCAGTTTAGCAGGGTGAGTGAGTCTGCTTGACCTAGCCACCTCACTGCATTGCCAGGGTTACAGTAGACGAGAGGCACCACTCCAGTGTGTGTGTGTGTGTGTCTGTGTTCATCTGCATCCATCCTCAAGGGGTGCCCATGATGTCTCTTGGTGGCTGAACCACCCTCATGAGTTAAGTCCAAAGATTCAACAGGGAGTGTGTTTAGAAGTGGGAGGACCCTGTGTGATGAATGGACTCCTCTTTCTCATCTGTGGGCATCTTAAGTGGGTAGGATCCCAGAAGGAGAGCCCCATGTCTGGCAGACATTTTTGTTACTAACCTAAAAAGAAGGGGAGATAAGATAGGCATAGCAGCATCAGTTTAAAAACAGCAACAAAACCATTTTAGGTTGTAGAATCTAAAAGCCAGTCCTAGATGGTATAACTTCTCTCTCTCTCTCTCTCTCTCTCTCTCTCTCTCTCTCTCTCTCAATCTTGCTCTTGCTCTTGTTCTCAGTCTCTCAGGAAATTGTAGGGGGAAGATTTGCTTGTTTGTTTTTTGGACACAGGGTTTAATAGCCCTAACTGTTTTTGAATTCAAGATCCTATTGCCTCAAGCTCCTAAAGGCTAGGATTAGAGGCATATATATACCGTCACACTCCCTATCCCTCTTCTCCTTCCCACTTCCTCCTTTCTTTTTTTTATAGTAAAATACAAATAACTAAACTTTTGCTCTTTTTTTTTTAAAGATTTATTTATTTATTTAATATGCATATAACATTCTGCTTCCATGTATATCTGCACACCAGAAGAGGGCACCAGATCCCAGAATGGGTGGTGGTGAGCACCATGTGGTTGCTGGGAAATGAACTCAGGACCTCTGGAAGAGCAGTCAGTGCTCTTAACCTCTGAGCCATCTCTCCAGCCTAGCACTTTTGTTCTTTTTTTTTTTTTTTTTTTAAAGATTTTATTTTATTTATTATGCATATAACATTCTGCTTCCATGTATATCTGCACATCAGAAGAGGGCACCAGATCTCATAAAGAATGGTTGTGAGCCTTCATGTGGTTGCTGGGACTTGAACTTGGGACCTTTGGAAGAGCAGTCAGTGCTCTTAACCTCCAAGCCATCTCTCCAGCCCATTTTTTTTTCCCTTTTGTTCTTTTTAAATACAAGATTCTAGCCTGCTGTAGTGAATGCCTTTAATCCCATCACTTGGGAGACAGAAGCTGGAGGACCTCTGTGAGTCCAGGCTGGTTTACATAGTGAGTTCCAGGACAGCCAGAGCTACACAGAGAGACCCTGTCAAACAAACAGTTCAGTTTCATTAAAGAAAGATTGTTGTGCAGCTGTTTCTCCTCCATCTCAAGAACTTTTCTAGCCTCCCCAATTGAAGTGTCAGACTTAGTAAGTACATAGCTTCCCACGCTCCCATTTCCCCGGTTCCTGGAAGCCAGCATTAATCCCCCTAACATATATATGCAGAGGTGGAATTATACAATGTTTGCTTTTCTGTGCCTGACTTAATCCACTTGGCACAGTGTCCCAGAAGAATAGAGGTCTCTTGGGGTTTGAGGACTGGGTTCTATGTCATTGCATGGATATGCCATCTTTTGTTTATCTGCTCATCTTCAGGCCTCACCTTGTCAATCCTCTTGAACAATAATAGCACTTGCAGAAAGCCTGACTGGTTCTGTTACAGCTTTGAACGCTTTTCCAGCCCTGCTGACTCTGTTTTGTCTGGGTCTGTGACCATGTACACTGCACTGATAGAGACTGCAAAGGGATGGTCCCTAGATTACAGGATGGGGCTGGTCTCTCAGAGAAGTGTTTCTAGGGTATTCCATCCAGGATCCAGGCCATTCAGATTGATGAATGAAATAAAAAATATCCCTGCAGAAAGACCTGTCTATCTGTTCGTGTCCTTCCCCTGGCTCTGTTTACAGTGCTGTGCACACATAATTCATCTTCTGTCTGTGTTCTATTGCCTATGTGTTGAAAAAACAGCCTTCCATAGCCTTTTCTAGGATAATTGATACCTGTGCTTTCTGTCTGTCATCAGGAAAAAGAATTTGTTCTTGGTAATCTGGCCCAAAAAGCAAAGCTGACTGAAGATCTGTTTAACCAAGTCCCAGGGATTCACTGCAACCCCTTGCAAGGAGCTATGTATGCCTTTCCCCGGATTCTCATTCCTGCCAAGGCTGTGGAGGCGGCTCAGGTCAGTGGAGGGTTGGCTGTCTTCCTGGATCCACTTGAGCTGTCTAGGTGTTGGTTGGCATTTTGCTTTGGTGAGCAGTGGCGCTGGCCTTAGGGGTTCTGAATTCTGTAGGTCTCTTGGACAGATGTAGTTTACTGTGTGGTAGCTTTTTAGAGTCCCATCTGCAACAGAGTATGGTGGTAATAGGGTAAGCGTGAGGCCAACCCCAAGTGAGAGTCCAGTGTGGACCAGTGGTGCTGTTCTGCAGTGGAAGCATGGCTCAGCTGTTAAGACACTTGCTGCTTGCAAAAGATCTGGGTCTGGCTTCCAGCACCTACATGGTGGCTCATAGCCATCCATAACTCCAGTTTCTAGGGGAGCCAACACCCTCTTCTGATGTCTGAGGATACCAGGTATGTTGTGTATAGTACATAGTCATACGTTCGGATAAAACACTCATACACATAAATAAATTTTAAAAATATTAAAACAACAAGACATGCTACCTCTGAAGGGTAGGATCCAAGTGGGGTGTGATAGTGATGGTGGAGATGAAATGAGAGTCCCCACCTCCCCTAGCCATTGCTTCTTACGGCAGTGATTCCTAAGCCTCAATATTCAGAGTAGATACCTTGGGTTTTGGGAAAGAGCCACTTCTGGTTTTCTGAGACTTCAAGGAGTTGAGAGCCTACACTTCCAGCCACGAATCTCAAGTTCTGCTTCCCCCTCACAGTCCCATAAGATGGCCCCAGACATGTTTTACTGCATGAAGCTCCTGGAGGAGACTGGCATCTGTGTTGTGCCGGGAAGTGGCTTTGGGCAGCGAGAAGGCACCTACCACTTCAGGTAAAGTATTTTCCGTGGGGGTAGGTGGCTTTTCTGGAGAAACTTGGGTTCCTACTTTAGAGACTGAAGGGTGTAAGCCTCTGTTTTCCTTGGGTGGATCTCACCTTGGCAAGCTCAGATCCCGTCAGAAGAAGAGGAAAACTGGGACGCTTCACAGCCATCTCCTCTAAGTACTCCTGGACTGTTCTGTCCTTCGACTGCCTCCTGTCCCTTTCATGCTCCATGCTTCTGGATGCACAGGACAAAGCCTGTGCCTTTGTTAGATTTCTGTTACTATCATAAGCACCATGACAAAAAAGCAACTTGGGGAGGAAGGTGTTTATTTGGCTTACAGGTTACGGTCAGTGATCAGGGAAAGCCAATGCTGGGACCTGGGGGCAGGACCTGAAACTGAGACTACAGAGCTTGCTTTTTTATATAATCCAGGACCTCTGCCCAGGGATGGTACCACCCATGGCCAGCTGGGCCCTTCCACATCAATCATCAGTCAAGAAAGGTCCCCACAGATTTGCCTACAGGCCAAAGGAATGGAGTTATTTTCTCAAGTGAAGCTCTTCTCAAATAATGTTAGCTTGTATCAAATTGACAGAAAAACCAACCAGGACAGCCTGGTGCAGGACAGGTGCCCAGCCTGGTGCAGCGTGGACCATGACACTACACTGACACAGACCTATCTCTGTATAGATGTGAACCTGGATTCCCAGCAAGTGTTCCTCACCAAGGCCAGTTCTGTTCAGAATATGATCATTTCTTCATAGCTCCTGTGGCAGTGTCTCTTGTAGCAGATGCTATAAAAAAAAAAAAAAAAGAAATGTTAAGAGTTGCTGGCATCTGGAGCCAAGTCTTTGCTTAGTCAAAGATACGGGCTGTGTCCTAAGAGGGGCAAACTGCCTACCTGGCCCTTTTACCCTTGGTCGAGTTCTCTGCTTTGATTTATAATCCATCCAATCCAACACACACACACACACACACAAAGAATAAAAAAAAGAATCAGAGTCATGCTCTAGGGTTAGAATGTAGTCAGCCATTTACCTAGCATCCATGAAACCCTGAATCCAATCCCTAGCTCCACAAAACGGGGGGGAAAAGGTTATGTTCTAGAAAGTTCTCTATATTAATCAGAATGTGGTGCTAGAGCCAGATGTGGTGGTGCGTGCCTGTGATGCAAGCACTTTAAGACACTGAGGCAGGAGGATTACTGCAACCTCAAGGCCAGCCTGAGAAACAGAGAGAATTCCAGAATAGCCAAGTGCCACATGAAAGCCCGTTTTATAAAGGAGAAAGAAAGAAAGAGGAGTGTAAAAAAATAGAGGTAAAGGCAACTAGATCTCTGAGTTCAAAGCAAGTCTGGTCTACATAGCATGTTCTAAGGACAGCTGGGGCTACATAGGGAGATCTGTCTTAAAACAAATATACAAACAAATAACAACAAAACCCAACAAACAAGGCCGTGGTGCCAGCTTTCTGCAGTAACAAAAAATACATTTTGGTGAGTCAATACAGTTTATTGCTTTAGCAGACTGGTCTCGCCGTAGTAGAAATGCCTGTATATAAACCACTGTGGCGGTTTGTGTCTGTTCCCAGCTTCCTGGAGGAGGCAAGAGGGGTGCTCAGGCTCAGGGCTTCATGGCTTGTCTGGGCAACGTGATAATGGAAGGAAGGACTAGGTAGAGGAGACAGTAGTTTCACTCTCTCCAAATCAGACAAGGTAGGGCCATGTGTCCACACAGGGACCTTGTCACCCTCCTGACCTTGTGTCCACTCAGCAGTGCAAGGAGTATTGTTGGATTCATCCTGTGAACAGCCAGGCTGATGCTTTTCTCTTTCCTGACAGAATGACAATTCTCCCTCCCGTGGAGAAACTGAAGACAGTGCTCCATAAGGTGAAAGATTTTCACCTCAAGTTCCTGGAGAAATACGCATGAGGATGCCTCAGGTGCCAGAGGGTCTTGGTTCCAAGGCCCAGGCCTTCCTCATGGACTCTGCCTCAGACCTCACACAGGTGGCCAGCCCAGTTCATCATAATTTTTTCCAGGAGACTTCTCTCTTTGTGCCTTGATGTTGAGAGTTCTCTTCTGAGCAAACAGTGATTTTGCAATGTCTTGAAGGCCCTGTTTTTTCTTTTGTTGTTGTTTTGTTTTTATTTAAATGCAACCAAAGTAGAGTCAGCTTACTCAGCAGATGTGGCTGAAATTCTCTGAATCAACTATTGTTGTTTTCAGAAAGTTCCTTTGGGTTTTGAACAGCCAGGGTGCATTGAGATGAGATAGTTCAGATCTGCAGAAACAAGCAGGTGTTTGGAAAGTGTGACCTAACGTGGTAAGGACAGGTCACCCAGAATCAGCAGTGAGATCCCTTGCAGCATGGCAAATCTACAGATCCAGCGAGGTCATTCTGGGCTGGAGATAGGCAGCACATCACAGACCAGAATACTGGAGTCACATCAGACACCAGGCTAGAGTGTACTGAACACGGGGTTGACAGGGGACGTGGCCTAGACCTGAGCTGCCCAGCAGGTGACGACTCAGCACACAGAGCTTTGAACATGCTTTTGCCGAGACCTTGGTATTCAGGGACACCAGGGAGAGCCCGGAAATACCTTGGTGACTGTGGATGGATCCATCCCACCGGTTACCTAGGGAGTTTTTTCCCAGGGGCTTGTCTGCACCTTTGCACTTATTGCCCTCTGCTGGTAGCAGCAGAGATAAGCACAGGCTGAAAATGCCCTAAATTAGGAGGAGGTGATGACCCTTTAAAAAAAAAAAATGTCAAGCGCCTGCAGATTTTTTAATTGTTTCAAACTAAATTTGGTTCATTTTGCAACTTTAGTTGGTCACAGTGCCTGGTACACTGACTGCCAGGAAGGAGTGCACAATCTGAGTCAGTGTATTTCTCTCCACTTGAGTTTCCTGCCTCCCTTCCTGATCTGTCTGTGTCATGCCTACATCAGCCGCCATCCCTCCATGTACCAGAGTAGCAGCCACCAAGCAAGTCTATTTCTTGAATTAGCGCACCTGGGTGGAGCCAGAGATGGGTGCTATAGGGAGCTGCAGGCCAGGGTTTCCTTCCCAACAGAAGCCAGGGAAGCTATGGCCAGCTCATGAGCCTGGGGACCCAGTGAGTCTGGGGAGTGCAAGGCTAGAGAGAGCAATGTGGAGGGCTGTGAGGTAAGGCCAGGAACCTATCTCCTGTGCTGTGATTCCATACTAGGTCTATGTAGGGGGTTCGTTTTTAATACTCACGAGCATTACATTACTGTGAAGGAAGCAGCCACTTTCTTAACAAAATGGAATGTTCTGGAACTTTTCTTTAAAAAGTTGAAAAGGTAGCATGTGTGCTTGCTAGGCATATAAACCAGATGTGCTCCAATGTTCTGAGATTCCTCAATGAAAGGTAAACTAGAAGCTAGTATATTTTTTATATTTTTGTAACAATTGCTTTTTTCATGGGGGGGGTGGAAGGGTTAGTATTTATAGTCCTAACAAGTCCAATAATTTTTATAAATCTCTTCAGATTATAAATAATCCTCCAAATTTTGCAATGTTTACATGTTTTTTTTAAAAAGACGATAATTATGCTAGGTTTGCTTTTTAAATAAAAGCTTAGGTGTGCTAAGAGATTAATAACTTCAAATAGGAATACTGGTTATGGTAGTTCGGATTTTCTATAGATTCTATCCCTATGCCTTTTCTGTTTCAGCATCACTCAACACAGTTGTTTGTCATTTGGGTTTCCCTTAAGAGTCTACACCTGTAAGGTTTCTGTTCCTCCAGAGATGCTTGTGGGTGATGCTGAGGAAGCCTGGGCCAGGCTGGACCTGGGACAGTCACACCCCAAAGACATTGTTTCCATTGGATGTAAGAGCAAGTGAAGACCTGCCTGTCCTCTGCTGTTCCCCATCATCAGGTCTTCAGGACTCCCTGATGGAGGTCCTTGTAATAGCTGTGCTGGGGAGATCTGAACAATAAAATATGTGCCCAGAGTGGTGACTGTTTAACTGTGTCGATTAAATCTAAAGGTTAAGTGGGGATGAGTGTGGTGCATGCACTTTAATCCCAGCATGGGGAGGCAGAGGTAAGCTGGTTGTTTGAGTCCTAACTGGTCTACTTAGTAAGACCCTGTCTCAAAACAAAATAAAAAACAAACAAAATAGAAAATGAATAGGTGAGTGGATGTCATTAATATTTGTCCTGAACAGCAAATCTGTCTAAACAACCCAAACTCCAACCAGCAGCTCTGGTTAGGGTTTGACCCTAAAGCCAGGGAGATGCTTCATACATCTTTCTTGTGTTTTTGCTTTGAATCAGGGTCTTGCTCTCTGGCTGCCTGGCATAATACTACTTGCTGTGTACTCTAGGCTGACTTCAAACTTACTGTAGGCTAAGGATGACCTTGAACTCCTGATGCACTTTCTAAGTGCTGGGATCATAGGCTTGTACCACCATTCCCTGCTCTAGCCAGACATTAAAACAAATATGGACTTTGACTTCTGCTGGCCCTGAAATGATAAGTGATAGAACCTGGCAGTGGTGTCACACGTCTTTAATCCCAACACTCAGAAGGCAGTCACAGGCAGATCTCTCTGAGTTTGAAGCCAGCCTGGTCTGCAGAGTGAGTACCAGAACAGGCGGGCCACACAGAGAAACCCTGTCTCAAACAATAACAAGAAAAAGAATCTTCACGGGGCAGGGGAGGTGGGGCGGAGCTGGAGAAGCCAGCAGAACAAGCGTCTCTAAACAAGACATTGTGTTGGTTTTGCCTGGTTTCACATTCCCATTCCACATCAATTTTGAAGCATGGCTTTCAATTTTAAAAATTCTCCAAAACTAAGCTTTCTACATCTTTATTAAAATTCAGAAAGTACACGCACACACAAAATTATGGCTGTTACTTGGAATCATTAGGACCCCACTTAGTTTAAGCAGAGAAATTGACGATCCTATGTAAGTAGTAGGGAAACTGGCTCCATTTCTACTGTTTACTCTGGTAACTGTAGACTGCTTTGCCCCATTGCACTTATAAAAATCACATGGTCCCAGCCAGGCAGTGGTACCTTTAATTCCAGCATTTTAGGCAGAGGCAGCCAGATTTCTGTTAGTTCGAGGCTACTCCCCCCATAGAAAAGGGGTTGGAACAGTGCTATGCCAATAAACCTCATTTGCCACAAGGCCTCTGTAGTGTGGGGATGGAGGCCTTGTGTTCGAGAGATGGGAGTCACAGCTAGTTGATAGCTACATGGACAGGAAAACGTTCTGTTTCCACTCATCACAGGAAGCCACATAGGAACACACACCAACTATCTAGGGGGTAAACTAGTTCATTGTTCAGTGAGTATGTTAAATACAGATCAGAAACTGCAGCTCTCATTTTAGATGTGTGGCAGAGGGTAGTGTTGAGACAGGGTCTCACTGAGCAGCCCTGGCTGTCCTGGAACTCTGTGTATACCAGGCTGGCTTTGAACTCAGAGATCAAGCCAGGGGGTAGGGATGCGAACCTTTAATCTAAGAAGCAAGTGATTTCTGTGAGTTTGAGGCCAGTCTGATCTACTGAGTGAGTTCTAGGACAGCCAGAGATACACAGAAATCGTCTTGAAAGTGACACACACACACACACACACACACACACACACACACACACACACACACATTTAGACAAATGCAAAAAAATAACTAAATCATATCTCTCATGTCTGGTTTTAAAAAGTAGACTTTTTTCTTCCAGACTACTTAGAAGTAAATCTTAGGCACTATTGACTATTATCCCTAGATAACTCAGTGTGTATCTTTTTTCCTACCTCCCCCCCACCCCCCGCTTCTGTTTTGTTGAGGTAGTGTGTAGTCAGGCTCACCTTGAATATTTTTATTCATGATATTGAATACTGGCTGCTTCAGTGTCACTAGGATTATTGCCATGTACCGTGACACTAAATTCAGTGTTCATCCTTTAAAAGGACATTGCTTATTTGTTTGAGAAGGGCTTTGTTATGTGGCCTGGCTGGTTTGGGACACCCTCTATAGACAGTGATCTGCCTCCCAAGTACTAAGATTACTACCTCACCCTTTGCTGATGTGTAGGATTCTTTTCTGCTTGTTGTTTTGGTTTACCTTGGTTGTTTTGTTTTGTTTTGAGACAGTCTCAGTATGTAGTCCTGGCTGTCTTGGAACTCACTTTGTAGACCAGGCTGGCCTCAAACTCACAGAGATGTGCCTGCCTCTGCTTCCTGAGTGCTGGGATTAAAGTTGTGTTTGCCTGACTTTCATGCCATTATCATATCTAACAAAATTAACAGACTATATTGTGTACAATTCAGGTTATATTCACATATCCATGAGTGATTTCTTTTCACTTTTTTGTGTGTGCATGCATATCTCACACATGGGGACAGCTTACGGGAGAGAGTTGGTTCTCTTCTTTCTCCAGGGATGGAGCTCAGACCATCAGGTGTGGCAGCAAGCCATCCTTGCTGGCCCCTTTACTACCTACCATTAATTAAACAACCTGCACCAGCTTCATTACTGCTCTGACAAAAGGACTATTGCAACTGTAGACACTCGTCTCCCTCCCAGTCCTCTTAACTGAAAAATTAAGATCAAAGACAAATATTCACAGACCATTTTTTTCATGTGTATGCTAAGACTATTTGACTGAAAACAATAGAAACTTAACTAATATAAACAACAGCAAAGAAGACTTCATTGGCTCTTAAAATCCAAGAAATGAAGAGCATGCCTGGTGGCATAGTCCTGCCCTCAGGAAGGTGAGGCAGGAGGATTGACATGACCTATATAGTGAGACCCAGTCTTAATTTTTTAATAACTAAAGAGGGACAAGAGAGATGGTTTGGCAGAAAAAAGCTTGTACTGCCCTACAGAGAATCAGCTTCAGTTCCCAGCACCCACAATGCTGGCTCACAGCTCCTCCAGCTCCAGCTCCAAGGCGCGTGATGCCTCCTCTTCTGTGTAATCATGTGCATAGACCCATACACACACATATACACAATTTTTAAAACTGAACTTTAAAAAGTCATATTGAATGCACTGATAAATTATTACATAACATCATGGCATAAAACACCACATTCTCTAGTAATATACTATATACTGATAGGTATAACAAAAAACCATCATGTGGGGGGTGCTCAGGGTACTTTCAGTTTCATACAACTTTAAGCAGTATTTCTACAGTTTCCAAATTATTTACACTAAATAAATAGAATAAAAAGAATTCCCTAAAATCAAAAGAATTCCTAGGTGGGAAAACTGTTTAGGCACCGGGGGTGTTTGCCATACACACAGTACTCACAGGCAGGGGTAGGGGTAGATATAACAGAGCAAACTCCTTTTTTTCTAACTTAGTTTCCCTTTGCATGACTGAAATGCAAAGCACTCACAATGGCTTCTTATTGATGCCGGACACCCAGGAATGCTAAACGGGTACCCTCGTCTTTGAACCCTTGCCTGCCCTACACACATTCTTTACTATGGAAATTGTTATTTCTCCTACACGCCCCATACCTTTCTAGTTAAAGAGCTGCCACACTTGCCTGATTTGTACTACTGAGCCCTGGATCTGGACCCTTGAGCATGCCTCCTAAGCCCTTGCTATGTTCACACGCTGGCGGCACTACTGCCAAGTCCTGCCGTTTAGGAGAAAATGGCTCTTCCTCAAGGTTCCTGGCTGGACATATGATTGGGTGTGGCCAATCAACATACCCTGGTACACTGACCACAGTGATTAGCTCAGGATGACATGTAACCCACACCAGATCAGTGAGAGCCCCAGTCAAGATTTATCTTGGAAGTATAGAGAGTTGCTGTTCTCCTGGAGTTGCTGATAGGCCCTTTGGATCATGTTGAAATACAGGGCCTTTGGAGTTTGGACTCCAACTGGAATTTCCTCTTCACCATTGACAAAATAGCCTTTTGGACCTACCTTTCTTTCCTTTTCCTTTTCCTTTTCCTTTTTAAACATCTATTTTATATACACATGTTCACCTATGCGTATATTAAGTGTATCAGATGTATGCAGTGCCTGCAGCATCCAGAAGAAGGCGTCAGATCTCCTGGAACTGGAGTTACAGATGTTGGTGAACCACCATGTGGGTGCTGGGAACTGAATCCAGGTCCTCTACAAGAGCAGCCAGTCATCTTAACTGCTGAGCCACCTCTCCAGCCCCCTTTTGGGATGTGGCTTCCTTGCTTATGAATTGGGACAATCAAAATCCTTACCTTTAGGTTGTTGTTATTTTTAGATGAAATAACACATATAAACATTACTGTTAACATGGTCTACACCAGCCTCATAACCCACAGCACTATGAAGCTCTTATGTATTTACCTTTCACTGTCAATGCATGTACAAATGAAGTGTCGGGGAGGGGGGACGTAGCCTGGGGTTTTATCAGAAAAACTTTCAGACATTTGATCCCATGGACAGAAAATACAACTGCCACTGGGTACAGGGTATAATCCTCCTATCTCTGGTGCAGATGGACCTGAGCTATTGTGCAGCCATGCATGTGAGGCCTTGCAAAGAGAAAAGGTGGTTTGTGCTAGGCCTGCCTTCTGTCAGGCAGGACGAGGCTGTTTGCCAAGGGATGGAAAGCCTAGCCAGTCAATTACAGGATAGCCCTAATTCTTTGGACTGGAGATTAGTAAGGCTGTGGTCCCTATTAACAGAAGTAGGCAGACTTTTTCCTGTATGAATCAAGATAGTAAATAGTCTTTGTAGAACATAGGGTGATAGATGATTTTGGTCTCAAATGTCCCTCCAAAATGTCATGCATTCAAGCTTGGTCACCAGCCTATGGCACTATTTAGAGAGTGGAACTTTTAGGTGATGGCATCTAATGGAAGAAAGGTGTGTAGGTGCACCTTGAGAGGGCTCTCAGCCCCCCAGTGTCTCTCCCCACCATGGCGTCCTGCATTAGCAGAGCCCCAGAACAAGATAACAAGCCTTTAAATCCCACCAGATTCCAGCTCTTAAGACACGGGC